ATAGTTTTACGGTTTCCCCTATATTTATATATATACATTTAATGCAGACTGACTGCAGAAGGATCATTGAAGGGGGTTAATGGTTTTAAGACCTTTATTAGGCCCTAATTGTGGATATTAACGAAAAAGAATTCCTTCATCTGTCTTTCTTTTCTTTTTTTCTTGTTTTGTTTTTCTTTTTTGGTTCAGTTGTTGTTCTTCTTCCAGAAAAAAAAACAAAACATGTTGATTACGTATAGAGAAACACGTCAAAATATGAAAGTAGGGATAGGAATTGAGAAACTTTGTGATGTAAAGATAATTTCGTGGTAATGATATATGAGTGTGTGTATTTGAAGTAATGCCTAATGGGTATACATGATACATGATTCATTTAATCAAGACTTATCTTTTAGCTAGCTTTCCTCTCATGTGAATGTGTTGAAAATGTCATTTTTCACTTTAATTTGTTATTTCTTTAAAAATGAAAAGAAATATGAATAAATATATTTTGTTTCTTAAAAATGTTATCAAAATTACAATTAAAATTGTGAAAACTGAAAGATTCATGTATATTATCTAATCAGACAGAAACCCAGTGGGGATAGTTTTGAAAAAGTAGATTTTAATTTGTCCCACTAAGGGAAATGTGTTTTATTTACGATGTTACACTATCACTATAAGTATTCAAAACACCTCATATTTATGCTGCATTTCCAAATTGCTGAGAAAATAATCAGAAACAAATTCAATTCAACTTAAGAATGAGTGCACTTAAGCTATGAGAGTTGGATCCCGATGTTTTGCGCAAAATAAAATTCCAAAATTCATTAAATTTATGTTTTATAGGTATTAAACAATGTCTTAAGAGCAGGTTTTGGTATATTATATTACATGAAAGTATTAAATAATGCCGAACGACACTAGCTTTTGAGAAGGGGGTCTAACAGTTTTGTCTCATTTCTATTGTTATTCATATGCATACCAGTTTTCAACGACTTTGTTTACATCGAGCCGCAACTTGGCCATTTTTCTTATTTGCACAGAATATGTATTTTAACTTTAACTTATACATATCCAAAGGACAATGTTGGCCAAGTTGCAGCTCATATCTAATTTTCAAAAAAATGTCCCCAAACTAGGGTCGAGATAGCTACTAAATTAACCGGTCACTGGGCAACAACGATTGATATTATAATCACCTTTCCCACGTGACCTTCTGCTTTTCGATACGCTAACGCTTTCATTGAAAATATCATTGTGTTTAAGTCTCTGTTGTGACATTATCTATCGTACTTCCAACTTCAAACTATGGGAGATTTTTGCGCAAATTTTAATAGGGTTTGAAGATAATATGTCTCTTATTTATCTTTATGCTTTTCAATATGGGTGTTTTGAAAGAATTCTGGTTTTGACAGTGTCATTAGTAAGTACATGTATAGGCTTATGTCGCCTCTGTATTATGGTCTGCACAGCGAGACATTTACCCCATCCCTTAATATTAGAATCATTTAATAATTGTGCACCATGAAATCAACACGATATCTCTCTCTTTTCTCCATTTCAATTCGCAATGCGAAAAAATCATATGTGCTAATGTTTACATTCCACAACCATGCGGTTTAAATGTCTCCGCCTATTTGTGGAAACCTTAGATTCGAAAGTGGTCCCGTTCAAATTTCCGGAATTTAGGGCTTTTACGTGTTCTTTTCAATTACATTTTCTGTAATTATAGAAATATATATGACAAAAAATTCTAGAAATAAATATCAAAAGCATATGCTTGCACATTAATCATAGATTAATTTAGCGATATATTGTAATGTTAAGCTTAAAATGGGTAGCCGAAAAGGTTCCAAATGACGTACTTAAGTGTACTCATTCTTTGTACAATCCCTCTTTGGTAGCATATAATGAAAATATAAAATACATGAATCTATTATTATATCAATCAGTTTTTTAATCATTGATGAATTTCTAATTAAGTTACTGTGTGTTTTAATTGCTTTAGGGTCAATGCTGTTAATGACTCTAGAGCAAACAGGGACACTGCGGAAGTGAAAAAGAAATGGCAAGACTTAAGCAGTTTGACGAAAAAAAGGAAGCTGAGAGGATTAAACACCGCAAAGTTACAGGAGGAGGACCTGCGATGAGTGATGATGTAAAGCCATGGGAACAACTGGTAAATTTTTGTGCTGCATTTATTCAACACAGTCTGTAATGAAGTAAATTATAGTCATATCATTACAAAATAAAATTATATGCAATTATAACATGATTATTATTTAAATAATTATATTCAAAACAGTAAAGTGTATACATTTATATTTCCATTTCTACTTGTTTTCTCTGAGATGACTCTTTAAAATTTGTTGAAGTTGATTTCTTGATAATTCTACTGTTAATGTAAATTATGCAAAACGATAGGTCAGGAGCATCTAAGGTGACTTAATGTGGCTGTACATCTCCTGCGTGTCTGTCTTTATGTTTGGCGCTAAGTAGTCCAAAAATGCATGTAACTCTCATGCGGCTGTCTTTGTGTTTGACGTCAATGGGCAAGGACTATATTGAAATTGACATTTAAGGTTGCATGTAGTTTACAACTACAGTGTATTAATCTTCATTAAAATCTAAATCTACAATTTTATTTCACAATGAAATGGAAACATAAGGAATCACTGTCGAGAGTTTTGCAATGCCCTGACATACTATATTAACTAGACAGTGATTCCTTAACAAACTGCATATATGCACAATATATCGACTGAATAATTAAAAAAATAACATACATCATTATGACTGCTGTCTACATGTAGATCATTGGAACATTTACCAAGAGAGCTCTGGAGGGGGTGCAGGGAGGAATTGATACAGCGGCAACAACCGAGCGAGGTATCTTATGTATAATTATATTTATCTTAAGTTTACCAATTCATCACGTGAATATGAATCATGTCCAACTACAAATCATGGGAGATCTTATATACATGTATATATCATTATGTATCAGTAAAAAAATAAACCAAGAAGAGAATGAAGAAGAATTTCACTTCTGAAATCATAATTTATTGACACGATTATATAATCTCAATACCTATACATTTTTCAGAGACATCATACGCTTTTGAAGAAGCTGTTGAAAATACCCCAGCAGTAGGTATGTATATACTGCTGTGATATCACAAGGGGTTTCCTGAGTTAAAATGGCTATTAGAAGTAAAATAATAATTTGCATTCATATGTTAAAACACTTAATATTAACAGTGTAAAATGATAGTGATGTAATTGTAATTTTATTTGACAGTCAGACAATCTGAATACACTAGGCTTATCTAAAGTGTATAAGATAACTGTTATTGTACAATTGCAACAATGGCCTGTTATAAATAATATTAAAACAGAATTCATGTAATTTTAGATACTTGTGAAGAAACAGAGTTTGAGACAGGTAATATACGAGGGTTGTCCCGTAAAATCGTTGACAAGTTGTCTAGTGTAAAAAATAAACATCACTGCGTTCTGAAATTTTCACTACTATTTAGTACATATTTTAGTAATATACACAGCAAATTTCAGATAAATATATGCATAAATAGGCAAATTATGAGATTTTATGCCATGTATTGTATCACCTAACGGCGCATGGATTATAACGTCAAAGTGTCTAAAACAGCGTCACGTTTTATCTTTGCTGAAAATGAAGTTGGATGAGTCCGACTTAAAATCTAAGAATTTCATTTGATACTCATTCTTTAGTCTCCATAAACAGTTGAAGAACCAATTGGCACCCTCATGAGACCTTCTGAAGATTTATTAGTAAGTTACGGACAATATTCGCACCATCATTTAACTTACAGAAAATCTCATATAGGCGGTCTACTGTGACAGCGTCTTTTGCTGTTACATTAGGAGCTTGTCCGTATGTTTTGTACTCCCCGATCAATCCCGATCAAAAAAAAACTTCGCTAAGAAAACTCCTATTTCATTTGTGTACTTAAATTATGGTGATATTTTTATAATCTTTCTTATTCTATGGTCATTTCAAGTCTCTCAAGGTGTCATTATAACATCGAATTAAAACGGAACTGCTCTCCGGTGCGCCGTAACGTCATAAAACGTCGCCATTTTTCGTATGTTGTGTTTACCACTTTCCCATTTCGAATGCTCGAGAAACTGCCAAAAATTAACCAAATGCCTTAAAAGTTTTACAAAGACTACAAAATTGATTGTGGAATTGAATCAGGATAATTTTAATCCAAATCTTATGTATTCAATACTTTTATTTTGATTTCAAACTTGTGTATTCTTTAATAAAACCTTGGTTTTTTGTCCGTGCGCCGTAGGACAATACCCCGTGCACATTCAAGCATAATAAACTTTTTTTTTTTGCCTATATTTTATCAAAATAATTATCATGCACTTAGATTTGATAAATAAATATTTACTGAAATTTTCAGCTTAGTGCGCCTATTACTTTTCGAGAAAAATGCTTTGTCCACGATTTTATGGGACAACCCTCGTATATTAATTCATCCACTGTATAAAGGGTTATGAATAATGGTTTTAATAAGCATGAAAGGGTGTCATTTTTAAACAAATATGGGTTGGTTTCAAGATCAACTTCCATAATTCCCTGTAAATTTGATCGTGTACCAATCTGTATTTATATCCATATATGTTTTAAAATTACACCTTTTTACTTATGTTTAATTTCATGACTGGTTTATAATGTATTTTTTGCATAATTATTCACTGGAACTAATGAAATATTTGATTTTTCAAATCTTAAAGAATCTCCGATAATTTGTTGCCAAGGCTCGGGGATTAAAAACCATACGGTACAACCCACTGGATGAAAAATGATATCCAACTATAAATCATTGGAGCTCCTATATATGTTATGTATCTATATACATTAGTGTTAATTCAACTCTTTTGTTTTGTTTAAGGTGTTTTGGCAAATTCCCTACCCTCTGCTGATGGAGTAGCTGTATATCCATATGCACATAAAACAAGAGAAAAAATTCTCAAAGTAAGTATGGATATATTAATCTGTGGCCTTTTTCACATTACATTTCCTCTGTTTCATGCACCATATGTCAAAACCTGACTATTATTTAAGCATAGTGAATGCAAAACACAACACTATTAAGTTAGTGAAATCATACTTAAGATTTTTTTGTTAAAAGGACCACTAATGATGAAGGTGGTATTTTTAGGTCACCTGTGTCACTCAGATGACCTATTGTTGTTACCTGTTTTCATCTGTCTTCTTTTGTAAACTCTTGAACATGTTTTAAGCTTCTTCTCTGGAACCACTGAAGCAATTTCAACCAAATTTGGCATATAGCATCTATGGATAAAGGGGAACAAACCCTGTTACAGTTATGAGTCTCAGACTATCTCTTTAAAAAAAGATTCATTGCTTAAGTACACCCACACGCTCAGCTCATAAGCAATTTTTGTGTCAAATATGAGCTTTCAAGATTCTCTGTATAAAATAAAAGCTTGATCATGATAGCATGACCAGAAAGACAGGTAGACAGACAGGCAGTCAAGGTTATTCCTTCCTACCTGTAATACATTGTTTATGATGTTTTTTTTTTTTTAAAAGAAGAAACCCATTGAAAGTATGCTATTTACCTATTTCAGGTGATGAATCTTCCAACTTGAGAAGAGAGTTTCTGGAAGGGGAGAAAGAAAAAAACAAGGCCGTTGAAGAGTACAGGAAAAAGAAGATTCTACTCCTGGAAAAAATAGTGCAACAACAGAGTGAGGTTATTGAAGTCCAGAGGAGAGCAACAACAGCCCTGGAAATCCTGGCCACAAAATTTCAGGAATCTACCCAGTCCCCCGGCCTCCCCATTTACCCTTTCCCCTGTTATTAAATTTAGTTGATGGTTTAATCCTTATAATCTTTTTCTGAGTTCACAGTATTTGATGTAATATCATAGGAATATATCTTATTTTCTGTATATTTAAAGTATTCAATGTGTAACGGAAGGATTTTGAACAATTTTAAATAACTCTAAACTAATTAAAAATACTTTGCTAGATAACGATAAAAGTGAAATGAACCAAATTCACAAGACTGATAACATGTAAGGAGACAACCATTTAGCACATTAAAAGTTTTGAAGAGTTATCTGCCCTTGATGAAAAGAGGAAAATTTTTGATTTCACAAAATTTCTGCGGTAAATAGTTCATTTTATTTCATATTTTAATAAAGAGGGAATTTATGCATATTTTCACGAAGAGATTTGTTTTAAATTCAAAATACTTTTTCAATATTTTATAAAAACATGCAGTGCCCCTAGACTTCAATGTAAAATTCAAGGGGATATTAATTGGACAATAATCAAAATTTTGTAAATTCCTTTGGTGGAGCATTTTTATTTGATAACATCTTCAAAATGCTACCTATGTTCCGCGTGGCGCAGTGGTTAGAGCGTCTGCTCTAGAGTCGCGAAGTAAGGAGTTCAATCCTTACGTCGCAGGTTCGAATCCCACTGTCTCCATATGAGTGAAGAATTCTCAAGAGGGACGTTAAACAACATACAATCAATCAATCAATCAAGATGCTACCATGATTAAAAATATTGGACCATTCATTTATTAGGCACAAAATATGGTCGTTATACATTGAATACCTTAAGAATTAATCAACAGTGTTTAAAAGTTAACTGGGAAATTAACTTTGTTGATCACGTGATCAAATCCTGTAAAACCGGAAGGGTTTCTCAGTAGAATTGATCATGTACCCATTCACAAAGTTCATTTCCAAGTGAACCTTTAAACATTGTAATTTATTACAGATACAGTCAATTCATATAGAATTGAACATACTTTCTCTTCAATAGGTTCATCTAAGGAAAATATTCTCAAATGTAAATATATTAAAATGTAAGAATGATAATTAGGTTTGTTTAAAAGATAATAGAACAAGCATCCCCATCAAGAAACTCTCTTTTAAGGTTGTATGGTTCATCACCTGAAATATATACAGTGTGGTTTTCTGTCTGCTTCCCATAAACCAATTTAATTTCTTTCATGCAGTAATGATTTACCAGGTCGATTTAAGGTAGTGGTATTAATGAGCATTGCATATAAAATGTGTATGCATGTATCATCATAAGAATTATTCCCCTTAAACTCTCTAAAATTTGAATGATGATAATGTCTTTTCATGCATCTCGTGTGATTATTATACCCCTGCTACGAAGGAGAGGGGGGTATACTGTTTTACCCTTGTGTGTTCTGTCCGTCCATCTGTCTGTCCGTAACAAATTTTTGTCTCAATTTTCTGAGTAACTACTCATAGCAGATGCTTGAAATTTTAGTACACTCTTTTTTGAGGCATGCCATATGGTGGGATTAACTTTGATATGAATCTGATGTCAGTTTCATATTTTTCTGTGCATCTGTCCGTAATTGAACTTGTATATTTTAACATGATTGTGTTTATCCACATCAGAGCAGTGGCTCACAGATTTCTTGTTTATTTTTCAGCATTTTGTTTTAATGTCAATAAGAGCATTATGTCCGATTCATATTGATGTTATCATTTTGCTTCAGTACTTTTCTCATATTTTCCTCTTCCTTTTGGAAATTCTTTTGTACATAATTATTAGACATGAATGTTTTTTGAATACTGGCTATTCCAAGGGGAAAAATCTTTTAGCTTACATTCTTACAATAAAATATGTAAAACTTCTACTTGATTAGGTCTTGTGACTTGATTTTCAAGCACCTGTATACTTAAACACTGTGAGAATTACCCTTTTTTAATAGATTAATTCCATATATGAATATATCAACGAAAAAACATGCTTTGATGTTCAATAATTCATGTAATAC